TAGTTTGAAAATCCTCTTTGAACAAGCTTATTCACAGACTTTGACCTTTGACTCCTGCCCTTATTCCCTGGCCCTGCACAATCTTCCATGACAACAAGGCAGAACTATTTATTTCTTGCGGTACTGGGGTTGGAACCCAGGGCTTTTTCACTGAGCTACATCCCCAAACCTTTTTAAAAATTTTTTATCTTGAGGGGTTGGGGATGTAGCTCAGTGATTCTGTTGCCTGCCTCGAAAGCATAAGGTCCTGAGTTTGATCCCTGGTACCCCCCAATTTTTTTTTAATTTTGAGACAGGGTCTGGCTAAGTCACTAAATTGGCCAGGCTGGCCTTGAACTTGTCATCCTCCTGTCTCAGTTTAACTGGAGTGCTCCAGCAAACCCTGCTGGGGCAGATCTTTCTCAGTAGTCTGAGGCCACCTTCTTGAGGGATGGCTTCTGGTTGCTGTCAGACTCCCTTCCCACTGGGACGCTCACTCATCACTGTGTGGTTCTAAGACGAGTGCAGAACATCTCATTTCTCTTTTCTCATTTCTCAAAGCAGCAGCTGCGCCGGGAGATTCTCTAAGGTCCTTCTGAGCCCAGGACACTTACTACTCTTACTGCTCATGGAAGAATGGAGTCTGCAGTGACCAGACTCTTCCCATGTGGTGCTGCTTCCCCAAAGAGCTGGGAGATGTTGCCTTTCCAGGTGCCTGGGGGCACTTGTGACTCTCCGGGCAGCCACAGCAGAGGCAGCAGTAGGTGCTGAACACTGAACCAGCTTTAGGATGACCCAGACTCCTTTTTTTTTTTTTTTTGGTAGTACTGGGGATTGAACTAGGGCCTTTACACTAAACTACATCCCCACCTTGTTTTTTATTTTGAGACATAGTTTGGCTAAGTTGCTCAGGTAAGACTGGAACTTGCAATCCTGCCTCAGCCTCCCAGATTGTTAGGGTTACAGGTATGTGCCACCACTCCCAGCTTGATTTGCCCATTTTTAAATGGACAATTTCCACAAGCTATAGAGAGATCTGTAACTCTTCCATCTGAGCTCTGATAAACTAAGTCATTTATTCATTCATTTTTAAATGGTCGGATAACATGCACACACAAAAGTACTATTTTGTGAAGTGAGAAAATTATGTAAAATTCACATTTCAGTGTCCACAAATAAAATTTTATCGGGACACAGTCCATTCATTATACCTGTTTTGAGTAGTTGGACATAGAACCCTCTGGCCCTTTGCTGGGGTTGGGGTAGACACTAGATGGCAGTTTGGCTATGGAGATAAAGGAAGCAGGGAACTGAGCTAAGGGAGTGGTCTGAAGCAGGAGGTTTGCAAGTTTCCACAGGTGGTCATATGAGACCTCATTTTGTAGGAGACCTGTGAGTTAGTCCTGCCAGACTCTGTTCACTCCCAACTTTTCCCAGTTTGGTGTTCTATGAGAAAGTGATTCTGATAAAGCAGTTATACACAACAGGTTAGGCCTTTGCCTCCCCCCCACACACCATGTTTTTGTCATAAATGTAACCCTTTGTGCTTCCTATGTTCCTGCCCAATGTATCAAAATGTTCTGTAACTGTTTGTGTTCTGCATTTACCCGCCCAGTGTATCAAAAGTGTTCTATTCAAACAATGTAACTGTTGTACCTCCTACACCTAAGGTTTCAAGAATGTTCTGTGTCTGGAGAGGTTCCTGGGGGTCAAAATTTGGAATGCTTAAAACTTTTCTGGGCCAGCAGTCTAATAAAAGGTTTTTCTCCATCTCTTCAAGTGGCTTTTGGATTCTTCTGTCTCCAAATGGCTGGAGGTTTAACCAAAGCTGTAACACTTGAGCTGTCTCACTCTCCGCCAACAATTTCACTCTACTCCTACCTGGAAGACTAGGGTGACAGCTGAGCAGAACAGGACAGGGCAAGGTGAGTCCCCTTCCCTTCCCCTTGTTGTTCCAGGACTCTTGGGGTAGGAGGAGGCAGGAGAAGGGCCGTGAGCAAAGTCAGGGCCAAAGAAAACTCTTCCCCCAGCCCAATTTTGTCAGGGCCAGGCTGTTGGCTTGGGGGTGTACATTCGTCGTGTACAGGAATGTTCAAGATGGAGTAGTCCATTGCCTGGCATCCACCGAGCCTCTCTGGGGCACCTGTGGGTTCCTCCTGTGGGGCCTTTAAGGGCTCCCACATCAACCACCTCCCATGAGTCTCTAGGGCAGTGCTTTTCCAAATTGCATATCAACAGTGATCTCCTTGTTAAAATTAAACAGTTTTAGGGCCGGGGATTTAGCTCAGTGGTTTTGCCACCTGCTGTGCAAGCGAAAGGACCTGAGTTTGATCCCCGGTACCAAAAAAAAAAAATTAAACAGTTTTAAATAATTAAATTGAAATGAGATCATTAGGACAGGCCCTACTCCAGTCCAGATTCTAATGTGACCTGACTGGGAAGTGCCCAAGACTACATTTTTAACAAGCTTCCCCCAATGCTGTGGTCCCTGCTGATCACTGGGCCACACTTTCAGAGTAACCAGGTTCAAACCAGTACCACCCCTGAGAATTATAATTTGAGGAACACATGTAATTAAAGTTTTAAAAAACTTTGACAAGTAAAAGTAATTCGAATATATTTTTAACCCAATAGTCCAAACCATGAGCATTTGAGAAATTTAAACCATACAAAATTGTTAAAGAAAGACTAGGGGTTTACTCAGTGGTAGAGTATTTGCCTAGCATGTGCAAGGCCAGGATACAGCAATATAAAGAAAAATTGTTAATGAGATATTTAACACTCTTTTCTTTGTACTGTCTTCAAAATCCAGCCTGGCCTGGTGGCACACACCTGTAAGCCAGGAGGTCCTGTAATTCAAGAGGCTGAAGCAAGAGGATTACTGAGAGTTTGAGACCAGCCTGTGCCTCATAGTAAGTTCAGGGCCAGCCTGAACTACATGGTGAGACCCTGTGTCAAAATAAAATAAAACTCAATAGTTATTTTATATGTAGGGCATATCTCATGTTGGACTGTAAATTTTTATGAGAAGTAATTCATCACAAAATTTATACTTGAAAAATAAAATTATGTGTCTAAGTTGTTCCAAATCTATTTAAAAAGTTTTCCAAAAACTGGGCCTCCTATCAGTTTTTAAATTTAAATTTAAATTACTTAAAAATTCAGTTTAAAAGCCAGGCATGTAAAATGATTAAAACAAATAATTGATCATTTGAAATAGGAAGAAAAGGTCCAAAGGGGTAGGGGAAGTAGGAGGGGAAGGGGAAAGAAAAGAAGCGAAAGGAAAAATTATGAGAAAAGGAAAAAATGGAAACAAAGTCTTTGTAAATAGGGCAGGGTGGAGGGGGTGAAGGGAGAACAGGGAATGGGGAAAAAATACGAACCAAAATACGTCATGTACAGGTACAAGTACCCCATGATAAATGTAAACGTATTGTATATCTAAAATGTACCAATAAAAGAATTTAAGCAAAAAAAAAAAAAGAGCCTGTAATCTTAACACTCAGGAGGCTGAACTATAGCAAGGCTCTGTCTAAAAAAAACCTAATTAAATATATAAAATCTCTTAATTTAAAAAAGCAGAATTTTAGTTCTTTAGCTGGGCATGGTGGTCTACACCTGTAATTCCAGCATTCTGGGAGGCTGAGGCAGGAAAATCACAAGTTTGAGCCCAGCTTGGGTAATTTAACAACTTAGTAAGTCTTGTCTCACAATAAAACAGGGCTGGGGATGTAGCTGAGTGTAAAGGCCCCAGGGTCAATCCTCAGTAGTTCAGTAGATCAATCAATCAATAAGTCAGTCAAACATTTCAGTTCTTGGGTCACATTAGCCCATTCAGGCTATGGTAGAAAAGCTATGTGTGGCTAATGGCTACTGTATAGGTTACAGCAATATCAGGATGATAGAAGTGAGGGATCCCCAGCTCCAGAGAGAACTTGGAAAGATAGCAACCCAAGAGCTAGACAGCACCCAAAACAGGAGTTCAGGGGAGAAAGTGTTGGAGCCAAAGAGCTTGGGGTGACTCAGGTGCATCCCAGGATCTCAGCACCAAGCATCGCAGCCTGCTCTAGAGCAAGGGGCTGAGGGAGGCAGGCGAGGGGAGGGTTGGTCCCAGGTGGCTCCTTCTGGACTGTCTCACAGCCCCATGGGTGTCTGCAGAGATCCCACACCTGTCAGTGTGGGATCAAGTAGAAAAGCAAGAACCATGTCTGGGGAAACGATCTGGGGGTGTAGCTCAGTGGTAAAGCACTTGCCTAGGATGCATGAGGCCCTAGGTCCCATCCCCAGGATCACAAAACAAAAAACAAAAACACTCGGGAAAAATCAGAAAGCATTTCTGGAAGTGGTTCCAGAGAATGCTCTGTGCACAGGGGCCTGACCTTGCCCGGGGCAGTTCTGGGAGGCAAACCAGAACCAAGAATAGCATTACAGGAGAACTGTCTGATGTCTCCTCCAAATACCAAAGCAGAGGCTAAGGAGCCACCTGCTGAGGGGTACAGAGTGTCGTCTTGCTGTTCAGAGGGCTGGATAATCATGTTTCCTCCACCAAGGTGCCTCCTGATTCTGCATTTGGAGTAACTGCCTACATGCTAGGCAGCTAAGAGCTTGCACTAAGCACTTTGCTGCCATCTCATCCTCCCTAACACCGCCATGAGCTTGGTCCTCTAACAATCCCCACTTCTCAGAGGAGGAAACGGAGTCATCCAGGGGTGCAGCAACTTTTCCCAGCCAGAAGGTGCTGGAGCTAGGATTGAAAGGTGGGCAGGAGCTAGGAGTATAGCTCAGTGGTAGAGCACTTGCTGAGCATGTGTGAGGTCCTGTGATTCATCTCCAGCAAAACACACATACAAACACACACACACAAAAGTGTGTGCAGTCTGCTTCCCGAGCCTGTCCCTACTTCTGTACCGCACCCCCTAGAACAGGCTATGATTTCCCAACTGGCCCCACTCACTGTGGCTGTGGGAGAGGGCAGGGCACAGCCCTGGATTTGCCAGAGCTATCATTGCACCTGGGATGACACATACAATTTCCCTTTGCCTCTCTGCAGCTCTCGCTCTGAGTAGGAGCCTCTGGGAGCTTGAGGAGCAAGAGGGCTGGGAAGAGGGATGGAGCTGGCCCAGATTCCAGCTTCCACATGGCTGAGCAGAAGCTGGGGCAGAGCAGGAGTACACAAAGGAGAGCTTTGACAGTGTCTCCAGCCAGGCAGGCCTCTCTCCTCTCCCCCCTACAGCTGCACTCACCCATTCTGGGCCTCCCAGGAGCCCGACTTAATGGGAAACTGTGGGCAATGAGAAGTTCCTTGTGACAAACTAATCCCGACCTGCTGACTGGATATGCCCCCGTCAAGGCTGCCACCAGAGCTCCAGGTCAGTGCAGGTACCAGGTAGCCCCAAGGAGGAGCTGCTGACCTGGCAGGTAAGGGGGCCCTAGATAGGGGCGGGGAGTTGGGGAGCAGAGGGGAACCCGCATCCTAGGCTTCTGTACAACTGAACCCCTGTGTGCCATTCTGCAGTATGAGGACCCATATGATGGCAGCTGTAGCAAATACCAAGACAGAATTCCTGGTAAAATGCAAACATCATGAGGTAGGCAGGTCACAAATCTGAGCCCAGCCTGGGTAACTTAGGAGACCCTGTCTCAAAATAAAATACATTTTTTAGGGCCAGGGATTTAGCTCAGTGGCTCTGCCACCTGCCTCGCAAGTGCAAGGCCCCAAGTTCGATCCCCAGTACCAAAAAAATAAGTAAATAAATAATAAAATACATTTTTTTAAAGGCTGGGGATGTAGCTCAGTGCACAGGTCCTGGGTTCAATCCTCAGTATTGAAAAAAATGCAAATTTCAGATGAATAACAAATCCTTTTTTGGTCTAAGTATGTTCCAAATATTGATATTATCGTGTTTTATCTGGCAACCCTAGATGGCAGAGAACAGCAGGAACACAGAGGGCAGGGCAGGCATTATTTTCATTGTATACAGTTCATAAATAAATGTTTTTTTCAATACCAGTAATTCCCCCCTACCTGAGTTCCTTGGGACAATTCCATCAGCCTCTGCATTTCCATTTCCAGAAAAACCTAAGTGGCACTCAGGAGCCTTTCAGCCTATCTGTCCCTATGCCTGCATGTTTTAATGGTTTACATCTGGTTCCTGTGGGATTTCAGCCCCCAGAACTTTCCTGCTCTTGCTGGGACTGCAGAGTGGGAGGAGCTGGGAGTGAAAGACCCTCAGCTATTCCCCCAGATCCTCCAGGTCTCTCTGTGTGCGTTAGGTTGATGCGAAGACAGAGAAGGGGGACTCTGTCCTAGAGCACAACCCTGAGCTAGGCACATTCCAGAAATGATCTGGTCTTCAATGACAGTTCTTTCCGGTAGTACTGTTATTATTCTCAATTTGCAAATGAGGAAACTGAGGCCCAGAAAGGTTAAATACCTTGCCTCTGGTCACATGTATGACAAAGCCTGATTCAGACCCAGGGATCCCTGACCGGTAAGGTTTCCATGTCACCTCAGCTCTTCTCGGGAGTTTACCTGGTGATGTCTTCACTCTAGGTGTCAAAACAGAATTAATGTCACACAGACTGAAGATTCTAGTTAAAACTTTGCACATGGAACCTGACCAGAGGTAGGAGCAGGATGGTGAATGGTCCTTGAAGGAAGGCGCTGGGGATGTTTAGGCGGGAGACGAAAGAACTGCCTCCAAAAGAATCCAGTGGGAAGAAGCCCAGCTTTGGGTCACGGGAGGGATTTGCTGTGCTGGCTGAACACTGCTTGTGTGGACGTGTTTTAGTTACATTTCATAACCTTTCCATCTGAACAGGGGACAACCAAGACACAGGTGAAATCACACTGCCTTCAACCTGAAGAAACAGAATTGGAACCCAGGTGCCGCTTCTGTTCTGCCTCTGGCTGCCTCTTAGAGCTGACTGGAAGTCCCAGCTTAGGTTTGAGTCCTCACTCCTGGCTATTTTGGGTTGTGTTACCTCAAGTCACTTATTTACTGGGCCTGTTTCCTCCCATGTAAGATGGGAACAATAATGCCAGGCCTAGCTCTGAGATAATGAATTGGAAAATACTTAGTGTGTCAGAAGCACTGGACGTACACCCAGGATTAGGATCACAGAGAAGGAACGCACTGGGAAGCCTCAGGCTGGGACAGGTGGACCACAGAAGGGAGGAGGTATACCTTATCCTGCAGTGATCCCCTCACTGAAAATGGAGCCCAATTCTAGTGTTTTCCTGGCTACACAGCAAGGTCTAAGACATTCGCACAGTGCCCCTTCTCAAAGCAGTGTGGCCCATGATCATCTCCTCCAGAGCCAGCCAGGGTGTTCTGACTTGCAGACTCTTGAGCCCAGCTGGGACCTTCAGACAGAGTCACAGGAGGTGAGGCCCACACACCTGCATTTCTAACAAATGCCCACAGAGGATCTGGGCACACTGAATGTTTGAGACCCACTCTTCTGAGACAATCTCAGAACGGTTTTTCCAAAACCACCGCAGCTCTGACTTCCTGTCCTAGGGCCAGACCAGCTGCAGAGACCAGATCGAAGGAAGCAGGACCCTTGTTTTCCAAGGGCTGTGTCTTCAGAGGGAATATGTCAGAGGGGGTGAGTACCCTGGCTCCCCTCCCCTGTTCGTTTAGGGTCTCAGCAGCCCCATTTGCCCAGCTCGCTCAGGCTGATGGGATTGAGGGCTGCTCTTCCTTCTTCCTGACTCCTCTCTGCCCAGGTGGGCACATTCCGCATGGTCCCTGAAGAAGAGCAGGAGCTCCGGGCGCAGCTGGAGAAACTCACAACCAAGGACCATGGGCCTGTCTTTGGCCTGTGCAGCCAGCTGCCACGCCATACCTTGCAGAAGGTGAGATGGACGGGAGGGCCAGGGAGGGGTGGTCTAGGGGGGCAACACAGGGATGGGGGTGGGTGAGGACATGCCAGCAGCATCCTTACTCCTGTAGAAATGTAGAAATAGCTCATCCTGGACTGCTGGACTGGCCTATTTAGGGCCATCCTGGAGGTCAGGGGTATGGTAGCAGCCAGGCTGACCAGCACTCAGGCCTGCCTTATCCAAGACCACAGCCTGAAGCCTCTGGACTAGGGATCATCCTGGTCTCAGCTATGAAAAGCAGTGTTTTGGAAGTAGCCATAGTGAATAAGGACCCAACTCTGCCCCCACTGGACAGACAAGAGGCCAGAGTTCTGGAAGTAGACCTGCTTGCAGCTTGCTGTGTAGCTTGAGCAGGTGGCTGTCCCTCTCTGAGTCTTGCCTTCTGTACCTATGAAAGCTGGTTGCTGGACTAGTTCAGAGGTGATCAGACTGTGCCCTGGAAGCTTGGCAGGGCTGCCTTAGGGCTATGGGGGAGGGTGAGAAGTGGCTGAGCCAAGTCTGGGCTCCTGGCTAGCCTCTCTGGGCATCTCAAGGACCCCCACCTTGACTCCCCTCCTCTCCCTTCCCCCACTTCCCCTGAGGAGAGCCCTGCCAGGGACTGTGGCCCTCTGGACCCAGCCAACCGAGGGGCCCGAGGCTCTGTGGGAGGAGGTGGGCTGCCCTCTGCTGGGGACCTTCGTTTTGGAAAAGCTCAGAATCAAGACTGGGAGGCAGCTAAAGGACAAAAAGGAGCCTGAGTAGAGTCTGAGCCCTACCTCTTTCTATCTGGATGACCTTGGGCAAGAATATTTCACCTCTAGGAGCCTCATTCTACTCATCTGAGGCATGGGGATGAGAATGCCAACCATGAGAGGTTGTGGGAAATGCATTGAAAGGATTCAGCAGTGTGCTTTAAGGACACAGTGGGTGTGGACAGTTATAATTAGAAACGGGCTGTTGGCAACAAGTCCCCTGTAGATAAATGCAGGACACAGTTTCACCTAACTTTCTCCAACACAACAATCTGGGTGCAGCCAGCACAGACACTGCCCTTCTGCACTGGAGAACAGGAGGCCCAGCAGCAGCCCCTGTGCCCTCTCAGTGGGCCAACTCTGGTAGGAGTGCCACTAAGTGACTTCTGGCTTTCTCCCAAAGTCAAAATGACCATAAAAGGTAAATGTTCTGAATTGATTCAGGACATGGAAGCAGCCACGACAGTGCAACTAATGACACTCAGGAAAGAGGACTTCCAGAACTGCTTCAGAAAGTAGCAAGAATGATGTTACGTTTGAAGCAAGGAGGAGTATTTTGAGGGGGGATTCATAATGATTGCCTTTTACTGTAATATATTTTTATTTAAATTGAAACACTCACCATATCGTCTGATCATACCTACTACATCCTGCTCCTCACCGGCACCCACCTGTAACTCTATGCCCACTCTACTGTGTTTCAGGCCAAGGACGAGCTGAATGAGAGGGCTGAGACTCGAGAGGAGGTGGTGCGGAAGCTGCAGGAGCTGGTGCAGACACAGGCGGCCTCTGGGGAGGAGCTGGCCCTGGCAGTGGCGGAGAGGGTGCAGGGAAGGGACAGTGCCTTCTTCCTGCGCTTCATCCGGGCCCGCAAGTTTGACGTGGGCCGCGCCTATGAGCTGCTCAAAGGTGAGGCCCGAGGTGGCAGGCGGGAGGAGAACATCATGAGGGGTCCACCCTGGGCCTAGCTCTAAGAAGACCCCTTCCTGCCATGAGCAAGTCACTCTGAGCCTCCATATCCTTCCCCACAAAGTGGGTGTGTGTGGGGGGATGGGGGACCAGATTGCCTTCAAGCTCCCTTTCAGCTCTGACAGCAAATAAATGAATGAATGAGTCTGTCAGCACCCGATTCCCGGAGGAATCTCCTCTCGGTCTTGGGGCTCAGTGAGTAGAGCTGGGGTACTAACTCCCCCATTCTCAGACCCACCCTTTGCCCTGGAACCTGCAGGGAGGTGAGCAGGAGCCTCTCTGCCCTACCTTCCCCAGATGTTCATTCCTGCCTTGCTGTGCCAGCTGCTGCTTTAGGATTGTAGTGGAGAGTGACAAGGACCAGAATCCCCTCCCTGCCTTCCTGGACTTTCATTCTAATGGTGGAGATAATAAGCCTGATAAATATAAAATAAAAGTATGTAGAATGGGGCAGGGGATTTAGCTCAGTGGCACCGACCTGCCTCGCAAGCGCAAGGTCCTGAGTTCAATCCCCAGCACCAAAAAAAGTATGTAGAATGTTAAGGGACAAAGTAAAGGAGCCAGGCGTGGTGGTGCACACCGGTGATCCTGGCACTTGGGAGCCTGAGGCAGGAGGATCCAGGCCAGCCTGAGCTACATAGTGAGACTTCGTCTTAAAAAAGGCGGGGAGGGAAGGGGTTAAAGTTTTAGGTAAAGTGGCCTGGGAGGGCCCAGTGCAAAGGGAAACAATCTATTTAATTTTTTTTTTCTTTTAGTACTAGGGATTGAACACAGGGCTTTTGTACTCAGCTACATCCCTGGCTCTTTTGATTTTTTATTTTGAGATAGATTCTTGCTAAATTGCCCAGGCTGTGCTCAAACTGCTGGGATTACAGGTACGTGCAATCACACTCAGTGTATCCAATTTTTTTCCTTTTCGGAGAGGAAGCATGGGGCTCATACAGGCTCAGTGTCCTGCTCCATCACCCACAGGATGGGTGTAGAAGAGCCCAGGTCCTGCCCCACTGGGTGCCTCCCCAGGGTTGGGCTGGCGATGGTTGGCATGGCTCCCTAAGGGGCTTCTCGGCTCCCCCTCTTCCAGGCTACGTGCACTTACGGCTGCAGTATCCTGAGCTCTTTAACAGCGTGTCCCTGGAGGCTATCCGCTGCACCATAGAGGCTGGCTACCCTGGTGTCCTCTCCAGCCGGGACAAGTACGGCCGAGTGGTCCTGCTCTTCAAAATTGAGAACTGGCAGTGTGATGAAATCACCTTCGATGAGGTCAGTGGGTTAAAAAAAAAAGGTGACTTTGGCACATGCCATTTAGTCTTCAAAAGTTTTCTTTTTTTTTTGGTACCGGGGATTGAACTCAGGTCCTTGCACTTGCGCAGCAGGTGGCGAAACCACTGAGCTAAATCCCCAGCCCTTTGAAAGTTTTCTTAGTTACGAGAAATAGTATAAACTTATTTTAGAAAATGATATCTGGGCCCAGGGATTTAGCTCTGTGGTGCCGTGCCTGCCTAGCAAGTGCAAAGTCCTAAGTTTGATCTCTGGTACCAAAAAAAAAAAAAAAAAGTTAAAGTTAAAAAAGAAAGTTCTGAGGGCCAGGGATTTAGCTCAGTGGTTCTGGCACCTGCCTCGAAAGAGCAAGGTCTGGAGTTCGATCCCCAGTAACAAAAACAAAAAGAAAGAAAAAGCTGTCTGGTTGCTCCAACACCACTTATTAAAAAGTCCATCTTTTCTCAAAGACTTGAGGTGTTATCTTTATCATAGTCTATATTTCCATATGTACTAGGATCTATTCCTGGATTTTTTATTCTATTCCATTGCTCTCTTTGTCTATTCATTCTATTCATGCTCTAACACCATACTGTTTCAGTTACAAAGATTTTATGGCATATGTGTAATATCTCTTGGGATAATTCCTTATTGTGTGTGTGTGTGTGTGTGTGTGTGTGTGTGTGGTACTGGAGATAGAACCTAGGGCCTCATGCATGGTTAGCAAGTATCCTATCACTAAGATACACTGCAGCACTCTATCCTTAATACTCTGCTTTTTCTGTGCTTTCTTAGCTAGCTTTTTTTTTTTGAGACAGGGTCTCACTGTGTAGTCCAGGCTAGCCTTCAACTCACTATGTAGCCAGCCCAACCTTGAACTCACAGTGATCCTCCTGCCTCAGCCTCCCGAGTACTGGGATTACAAGTGTGCTCTACCACACCTGGCCTTCCTAGCTATTCTTGAATATTTGTTTTCCTCTGTGAACTTTGAAATTAATTTGTCCAGCTCCAAAAGAAACATTAGGTGTATTTTTTTTCTTTTTTTTCTTTTGGGTACCAGGGATTGAACTCGGGACCTTGTGCTTGCAAGGCAGGCAGGGTGCCACTGAGCGAAACCCCCGGCCCACATTAGGTGTATTTTTATTGGGATAATATTACATATGTAAATGACAAACTCAGGAAGAATCGACACCTTTATAAATGTTATATTCATGGCTACTTGACCCATCCACAAACAGAAGATGCTGTCCACTTTATTCAAATTTTGAATAAAACTATACTTTTGAATTTTCAGGAGTTTTCCTCCTAAATATTGTGCACATTTCTCCTTAAATTTGTCTTCATTATTTATCTTGTTGTTGGTGCTATAAATGGGGCTTTCTCTTCTAATTGGTAGTTGTTTGTATATAAGAAGATTGTTGTTTTTGTGTGTTAATTTGTGTTCTATTGAACTGTTTTTAATGTTTTTGTTTTAAAGTGGATTCTGTGAGTTTCCTAAGTATACCTAATATTATTAAATAAATAATATTTAAATAAAGGTGATACTTTTTCTTTCTTTTTTGGTACCGGGGATTGAACTCCGGTCCTTGTACTTGCAAGCCACGCGGTGGAACCAGTGAGCTAAATCCCTGGCCCAAGGTGATACTTTTTCTACTTCTTATGGCCCTGATGAAAGAAAATTGATTGCATAAGCTGTTACTTCCAACATAGAGTTAAATGGCAAACACCTTATGTTCTTCTTGGTCTCATAGGGGTGCATCTAGTATTTTCCCATGAAATAAGATACTAACTTTAGGACTGAAGCTTCCTTAAGGAAGGTGTTTTTAAAATATTTTTGTTATAAATATTATCTACTCATTTTAGAATACACAAAAATCACAAATCTAAATTTTTTAAAAATCACAAATTTAAAATCATCCGCAATCCTACTCCCCAGATATTTTTTACTTTCTTAGTACATGCTTGCAATGTATCCACTTTACAGTCATCCTGGGGCGTTGGTACCTGTACATAATAGAGCTTGTTTCTGTTTTTAATCTCCTTCCCTCCCCCTCCTCTAGTTTCCCTTTCCCCTTTTCATTCTTGTTGATATTACTAATCTTAGTTCATGTTTATGACACATAATATCCACACCGGTTGAGGTTATTAGGACCTGTACATGACATATCTTCACTCCACCTATTTCCCATCCCCTCCCTCTAACTACTCACCCTAGGTGCCCAGGACCACTTCCCATCTCCAAGAGATCCATCCCCTTGTCTCGTTCCATCCTTCCTTTATTTTTCTTTTAGTTTGTACTTTGCCTTACTCAGAGGAGAGAAACCATATGGTATTCAAGCTTGTGTCTGATTTATTTCACCCAACATTATATTTTCCAGGTGCATCCATTTTCCTACAACTGTCTCAAATATGTCCTTCTTTACAGCCAAGTAGTATTCCATTATATATAGATATCACATTTTCTTTATCCATTCTCACATATTTTTTTTGTTTTATTTTGTTTTTGGTACTGGGGATCAAACTCTGGTCCTTGTGCTTGTGAGGCAGGGGGCGGAACCACTGAGCTAAATCCCCAGCCCCATTCCCACATATTTTTACTACTGACATCCTTTCAATGTGTTTTTCCTACACACACACAGACACACACAAACAAAACAAAACAAAAAAACCACATTTTTTTCTTTTTTTTTTTTCTTTTTTCTTTTTTTCACATTTTTTTCTTTAAAAAGAATGTACAATGATATCCTGTGGACATAGTCTGGCATCATTGATCTTCTGAATCATTTTTAATGCCTCTAGACCTAAATTCCATGTCCTAAACATACTGTCATTGCACCTGTCCCTTATTGTTGGACAATTAGAATGTTTCTGGGAGTTCCACTATTTTGAGTCCAGGATATACACTCTGATGTCCCACCATGGATGTGACATTTAGTGTAATTTCTCGGGAGACACTCACAGAGGGAAGATGTCCTAGATGGAAACCTGGGACAAGTTCTTCCAGTAAAGAATGTGCCAATTAGCTGTCCCTTCAGGGCCTAGAGTCTTAATTATCTTGTGGGTTGGATCTCACATCCTGTTGCTGTGTGTCCCAGATCTTGCAGGCATATTGCTTCATCCTAGAGAAGCTACTGGAGAATGAGGAAACTCAAATTAACGGCTTCTGCATCATTGAGAACTTTCAGGGCTTCACAATGCAGCAGGCTGCCAGCCTCCGGCCAGCGGATCTCAGGAAGATGGTGGACATGCTGCAGGTGAGGGGTTAGCACCTGGAGCCGCCCACAGGTGGTGCCAGTGTCATGATGCTGGCATCATCCTAAGGAGTTGACCACCTGTGCCATAAAGAGCAGTGAGAGCTGAGTGTGGTGGTGCAGGCCTATAATTCCAGCACCTCGGGAGGCTGAGGGAAGAGGATTGCAGGTTCAAGCACAGTCTTGTCCAAATAAAAAAATTAAAAACGGCTGGCGATGTAGCTCAGCATGAAGGCCCTGGTTTCAATCCCCAGCGCCACAAAAAACAAAACAAAACAAAACAAAACAAAAAACAGTGACAACCATGAACACTTGTATAGTGATGAAGAAATGTTTGCCGAATACTCAGTCATTATTTCACTGACTCCTCAAGAGTGTTCTTTCCCTGCTTCCCTGCTTTATTTACCAACCTGGAGGCTGAGGCTTAGCAATGTAAGTGACTTCTCCAGGTCACTCAGTGATAAAATGGTGGAGGCTGGACTTGAATGTACATCTTCTGAGCTGGAACTGCAGGCTGTCTGTCCCTGTGAGTCACACTGCCTCTCTTTGCTTGGGAATTTACCCTGAGGAAGGGTTTCACCTGTCAAGAGCTCAGTCCTGTACACACAGATGTGTCCGCTGCCCTTGCTTAGAGCTGCCTTAGATCCACTCTGTGTGTACGGGGAAAGGGCAAGTGACAGTTGGGAGGCTGCGTGTGGGGGTTGCTGAAGCACAGTGAGGCATGACAGTAGTGTCCCTGTGGTCTGGAAGAGTGTGTGGCCCACTCACTCAGATTGGGTGTGGCAGCACACACCTGTAATCCCAGCACTGGAGGAGACTGAGACAGGAGGATCACAAGTTTGAGCCCAGCCCGGGTAATTTAATGATTGAGCGAGATCCTGTCTCAAAATAAAAATAAAACAGGGCTGGGGATGTAGCTCAGTGTAAAGGCCCTGGGGTCAATCCCCAGTATTGAAAAAAAAGAAAAAGAATTTGCAGCCCACTCTACAGGCAAGTGGATTTGATAAAACTCAGTCACCAAAAACCCAAGCAAAGCTACTATTTCATTTCTTCTCAGCTCTAGGGTATTCTGCACTCTCGGCGGAGGGCTGGGTTCTATGCTTCTGGGGCTTCTTCCTCCCTGCAGTCTGGAGTCCCTGTGAGCAAGGGGCCCCAGCGGCTGGCCAGAGGGTGGAGCTGTCTCCAGGCTGGCCTCGGGAGCAATATGCAGTGCTGGACAAGTCAGTCCCCGGGGCCATGGGAAAGGCCTGGGGGTGAGGGGAGCCTCTGAAGCCATCCGCCGTGTGGTGGGGCCTCTCTGTCACTGTAGGACTCCTTCCCAGCCCGGTTCAAAGCTGTCCACTTCATCCACCAGCCGTGGTACTTCACCACCACCTACAACATGGTCAAGCCCTTCCTGAAGAGCAAGCTGCTCCAGAGAGTGAGTTTTCGAGGAGTGTGGGCCAGAGCAGGAAAGAGCTCTGGGGACCAGAGGGGCGGGGTGGTGGGGCAGGGACCCAGCACGTCCACCCGAGTCTGTGCCCTGGTTCTGAGCTGGTGGGGACAGACATGGAGGACTGTGGAGAAAGGCCTTGTCCTCCGGCCCCTTTCCTTCCCTCCGGCCTCCTCCTCAGGGGTCCTCCTGCTCAGCGCTCTCCCTTGCTTCCCTGCAGGTGTTTGTCCACGGAGACGACCTCTCTGGCTTCTTCCAGGACATTGACAAGAACATCCTGCCTGCTGACTTTGGGGGCACCCTGCCCCCATATGATGGCAAGGTGGCTGCTGAGCAGCTCTTTGGGCCCCGGGCCCAAGCTGAGAACACGGCCTTGTGAGGCACTGCCACCATCTGAGCTATAGTTAATATCACTGGCCTCTCCTCCGCTGTCCCAGACCCAGGTTGGCAAAGGGCTGCCTGAGGTGACTGTAGTTTCCCTACCCTCCCTAAGCTTAGGTGAGTTCAGAGGTCACCTTCATCCCAAGTTTGGGGAGGGACAGTAAAGTAGGGGGAGTCCCTTGAACAGAGGGATTGGGGACAGTTATATCCCCATCTGCCTCCGGAAGCAGTAGGACAGTGACTTTGTGTGAAGGTAAATTTCAAAGACTCCAGTTAGGCCTCTCAATAATTTTCTTTGTCACAGAGCTTCACTGCTTAGGGTCTGTAAAAACAGACAAGGAACTGGGGTTATTCCCCCAACAATAAAAAGAGGATCAAAGTGGGAGGACTTAGGCTCAGATGATTTGGCATTCACGGTTATCTTGGTGGCCTGTAGCAGGTGAGGGGTTTTCTGCACAGAATTCCAAGGAGGAAGCAGCTGTGGAGCAGCTCCCCCTCAGTCAGATGTCATCTGATGTGTGCAGTGACAGGAGCTTGGACCTCCTTCATGTCAGGTGGCAGTCATGTCTCCTGCCTCTGTCTTGGAGGGATGGGTCCTCTACACCAAAAGCCCCTTCAGAGACCTGGCCTTGGTATGACTTTAAAACTGGCATCTTCTCAGCTCTCAAGTTACACAGTGGAAGCGCTTGTCTTCAGTATGTTACAGGGAGGAGGAGCTCATACTAGCCAATCTGCATGCTTTGACACATGCTTTCCTCTTACAGAACTGGCTTTTTTCAAGTGGTTAGTGACTTTTTTTTTTTTTTTGGTACCTGGGATCAAACTCTGGTCCTTGCGCTTGCAAGGCAGGTGGCAGAACCACTGAGCTAAATCCCCAGTCCTGGTTGGTGACTTTTGAGTGTGTGCTCATTTTTGTAGGTGCCAACCCCCTGCAAAAGCCTGTTTGCTTGGCTTGAGGCTTCTCTGGGGGAGTGCTGGTTTTATGGGATGGGGCTCCCAGGCATTGGCAGATACTTCTCCCAGGCTGCCACCCTTACCTCCCCAGCTGGAAGATAAGGCCAGACACTCATTCCTGTTGTCTGGCTATTGGTGGCAGGTAAGGTTACCTGGCTGGGTTGTAACCACTGAGGTATCCCAGAATCAGCCCAAGACATCTGCTCTTGCCTGCAGGGTCACCCCCTTCCTTGGTGCCATACTCATCTTTTGTGACTGGACCTTCCAGATGTTTTCCGGATTGTAGGGTCAATCTGGTCCCATCTGCTATCATGCCTTTGAGACTCTCTTATCCAAACAGTTCTCTTTCTTGTTGTATGTATTGATTTCTTCCATTCTTTCTTTCATCCCTAAGGTTTGCAGTCTGTGCTTATTACCCAAGAAACCCTCTTCTTTATAACATTCTCAATCAACAACCCATGGACATCCATGGTATCTACACAGGACTTTTGAGCTGGAGGAAAATCACAGCGAATTATCATTATTGTGGGCAGAAAGCTGGGAGGCTGACCAGTGAGAATTTCTCCTCAAACCCCTCTACACTACTGTTTAAAAGTCCAGGCTTCCCTTTATCAAATCAGAGCTTACATGGGGCCTTAATGTGAAAACCTAAAAAGGATGCTGCTGCTTTGAGTGAAGATTACAGAGGGCTCCCCGAGGGATTTCTGGAGCTAAGACAGTATTTCAAGCATGAGTGCATGGGCAGCTATGTCCTGTGGGCCACTGGGGTCCAGGGGAGACGCATTTGACAAGGCAGAGGGGGGCCCGTGACCCTTGTAGAGGTATTGGTGGTAGAGTGGGGGTGGGGATGCGGTGAGCTAAAGAATTTAAAGGAATGAGTATTTTTTGTTTTCAAAATATATTTCTAATTGTTTTTCAAGAGTTGTATCCCCAGGCCAGGAATTTAGCTCAGTGGTTTTGCCTCCTGCTGCGCAAGCGCAAGGACCCGAGTTCAATCCCCGGTACCAAAAAAAAAAAAGAGTTGTATCCCAAATCTGAGGATGCAGTGGTTGATCCTGTCATCTCTCCCAGCCCTTACTTGTCAGGAGCCCTGTGGGATGCAGACTTTGACCTGTGGTGGCTCTCAATTTGTCAAGGAGATCAGGATAGGGAGAAAACTGCAGGCAGATGTTGGCCCAGGAGGCTCTCGGGCAGCCCTGGCTCCTACTTAAGTCCCAGGGGGAGGCTAGGGTCCCCTTTAAAGTCAGGAGAGCTAGGGCCTTAGCTCAGAGACCCTTTTCTGACAATAAAATCCAGTAGCTTTGAGAAAGAAGCCCCTTGTGGTTGGGACCTGGTGAACCTTCTGCGACTGTGTGCGTGCAGCGCCACCTGCTGGGTTTATTTGGCACTGCCTCCCTGGGGACAATTAGGGCAGGCAGGATAGGGGGCCCCTCTGCCAGACCGGCCTGGAAAAGCAGTGCTGCCACTGGGAGAAAGCCTGTGGAGATCTTGAATGTTAAAAGCTGACATACAGGGCCTGGGATTTAGCTCAGTGGTTTTGCCTCCTGCCTGGCAAGCTCAAGGACCCAAGTTCGATCCCCGGTACCAAAAAAAAAACCCCAAAACAAAAAAAACAAACATACAGTCAGGCGTGGTGGTGCACCTGTAATCCTAGCCCTCAGGAGGCTGAGGCAGGAAGATAGTAAATTTGAGCTCAGCCCCGACAACTTAGTGATTTGGCAAAAACCCTGTCTCAAAAATTAAGCAAATATAAAAAAGGGCTGGGAATGTAGCTCAGTGACAAGGCCTTAGGTTCAATCCTCATACTTCAAACACAAAAAGCAAAAAAAATCTGACATGGTTTTAGGCTCACAAAATCCCAGCTGCTTAATGTGTGTGATTCCATATGCCCCTCCGTACCACCCTGCACTAATGAGATAGAAGAACGGGGACAATAAAATGTGCTTGAAAGCCACAGCCACAGGAAAAGGAACAAAGCATGAACTTTATGACAATCACTTCCTTCTGGAGACATCTGGGATGAGGTGGGGACTCTGCTGAAGACAGTGCCTGGGGTAGAGTGAGAGCTGGCAGGCCTCAGGGCTGCATTTCTGCTGTCCTCTCATGGCCCTTGGAAGAAGGGAGACAGCAGATTCTGGAGGCCAATCACCAGCTGTTGCCAGGGGTCTCAGCAGAGGACTCGCCCCCAGGCTCAATAGTCTCTCAGTGGGATTGGCCACTGTATGAGCCTCTAGCTCATCAGCCACACTGGAGGACCTTGTGCTGCCTGGTGGCCTGGTGAAGGCTCCTGGAAGAGGCGTGCCCTTGTCTTCAATCAAGCCAGCCAGGGAGGGAGGTGGCCATCACCTAAGGGGTGCATTAGATCTTCTCTGGTCCCACTCCTATGGCAGGGGTGCAACTCTGGTGTTGAGGACGCTCAGCAGGGTTGGGTCTCGAAGCTCACAGGATCCTGGGCCCCTCACCATTTTCCTCTCTCACCTGGGAGGGCAGCATCTGCCTTGCTCTTGAGCTCGCTGGCAATGTAGAATGTTAGGCTCTGTCTCAGCCCTGCTGAATCAGAACCTGTAGTTTTAAGAAGACTCCCAGGGGATTGCCCATTAAAGAGCCCATCAAAGCTCCCAACGCAGTGGTCTGTAGCCTCCCTGCCAGTTGAAATCCTCTGGGAGCTTTAAAATGACGGTGGCCTGGGCCCTGGCATAGAGGTTCTGCTGTACTGGGTCTGCCAGGCAGCCTGGCCAAACTCCCCTTGTGGCTCAAACGTGCACTGCGTATGCCTTATGTGTTGACAAAAGGAGGTGAGGCTATGGAAGAACCCACACTGGCAAGTGTCGGTATCTAAGGATTTAAAGGCAAACTTTGCACCTGAGCAGACAGGATAGACAAGCAAGGCTGCCAGAGCCTGGCTCCTCCAGCCTGGGCTATGAAAACCCATGTGGGAAGGCAGCAGCCACAGGCTAAATGTCCCAGACTAAGAGCAAGTTCCTCTCAGAGACTGTGTCCAGAAATACCCCTATGGGTGTAGGTGAGTACACCTTGTGAACATATTGAGAAAGGAAGGAAAGTTTTTGGAAACTATATGTATCCAGCTGTTTCTCTGCTTTCCCTGTGGGCCCATCAGTTAGGTGCTCTGGTATGAAGCTACGCCACAGGGACGCTTCTACATTTCACCCCATCCCACCAAGCGATCTATGAGTGGGATTCAAAGTGAAAGCCACAAAATGAAGAAACACCAGCATACTGAAAATGTTATTTGAGCTCTCAATATCCTGAAGCAGGCACTCTTATAATTATTCCCATCTTTATCCCAAGTAAAAACTCTCAAATCTGACACTGAAACCTTTGTAGGGTCAAAGGACTAGGAAGTACAGTAGTTAGGATAGGACTCCAACCCAGCAACTCTTGCTCTGAATCCTTTTGGGTTTGTTACTGCTCATGTTTCCTCTCAAATGTTTATTTCCCGGGGTGGGGGAGGTGAGGGTAGGAGAGGGGAAGAGGAGCAACGAAGTGAGAACTTGTATTTATGCCAGGTCAGTTTCCTCAACATCCTCAGGTAAGAGGAAATAATTTCAAGAGGAAACCAACCAACATTCAGTGGTGGCTAAAGGGAGATTTTGGGGTACATAGCTGTCACCGGCTAGCTTGAGCTCTTAGCTGCACTTAGTACCGGGGATCGAACTTGGATCCTTGCGCTTGCGCAGCAGGCGGCGAAATCACTGAGCTAAATCCCCGCCCCTAACTATTCATTTTTTAAAGTGGGGGGAGGACAGGGAGTTTAGTTACTCTGAACTCATCCCGTTTGCCCGCCCATCCTGCTTCCTCTTCTCAGGGAATGTACAGACTTGCACCTTTGATTAACCACTTGCTTTCTCCCTCTTTTCACTCTGAAGTACAGTTGCCTGCTTGTTTCCAACAAGGCAGCTACTTCAGTGTCCTATTAGCTCGCTGCCACCTCAGTTACCTGTATACACACCGGGACTCTGGACTCAAGGCAGATTGCCTGGGCTCAAATCCATCTCTGGAGCTTTCTCTGTAGTTCGTTCACTGTTTGGCCCTGAGCAAGTGACACTTTAAGTCCTGTTTGCCCCCTGCCTCGTAGCCACAATGACAGGGGGGTTTATTTGGTCCCTTTTGGGAGGAGGTTCAGCAATTCAAGGCCAAAAATGTCTGTAAATGTCTTTCAACCACTCAAAAAAAGGGGTCCCACCTCCCTGTAACTTCGTCTAAGAATACTCAACAGAGACATGAGGAGGGGAGGCTGTCACACAGAAGTGAGGTGTTTGGGCTGCAGCATGGGAAAGCAGCCGACCAATGGAAGGCATGGGAGTATGTTGGCTCTACTGAGGCAGCCAGGAAATGTCACCGAAGACAATGAGAGGGCTGCCTAGCAGAGGTGTAGCAGATGACATTCTGAGACACTGCTGGCACCAACCTCCCTAACACCCAGGACTTGCAATTTTTTTCCAGGTAGCTCTTTTCATAGGTAGGATTCCCTTTTTTTTTTTTTTTTTTTTGGTACCGGGGATCGAACTCAGGTCCTTGTGCTTGTGCAGCAGGCATCGAAACCACTGAGCTAAATCCCCAGCCCATAGGTAGGATTCTTTGAAGTTGGTTTTCTTGGATCAAAACAGTCTGGCTCTCTTGTGGGCATAGGACATGTGTAGGGGTTGGGGGGAGCTTGATTACCAGAGAGGAATAAAGGTTGAAATCTGATATTGGGCACTCTTGGGTCTTGCGAATGGTACACCTTTCAAAGCCAACACTCCTACCCTGCCCCACTTGTCAACGGTTTTTAATGGCCCAAAAGGGAGGCGGCTCTGAGTGCGAGGATGGGGTGGGGTGCAGCTCTCTTGGCTGAGCCAGTGCCTGGGCTGGGAAACCCTTCATTCAGGCTCAGAGAGATCCAAACGAGAAGAAAACACCATCCCCACCCCACCCAATCCAACCTTCACCTGGTCTTCAAAGAACGTTACTGGAAAAGCATACCATCATTTCCAGCAAGCACTGTTTCCACTTGCCTTGAGTTTATCCACATGGTTCGTTCACTTTAGAAAGTGACTCAGTTGACATCTCACCTAGCTCAGCTCTTGGCTTGCTTGCCGCAGAGTGGGCTTGTGAGGACACAGTCGGCTGGCCAAGCGTTGATATTTTCTTTGCAAGGCAGGGTTATGTCAGGCGTGAGGGGAAATTGGTGTTTCCACCATACTCATGCTTTGGTGAAGACAAAGGAGAAATCCCTTTCAGTAGAAAATCCCCACTAGACAAAGCAAACATACTCAACGCCACATTTTTAGTCTTTATTTTTTTTAAGTAAAGAAATTCCATTGAATCAAAGATAACAAAATTACAGTTTTTGTTTGTAATGATCTTTGTTCACCACCACACAGAATCAAAAGTAATATAGGAACAGAAAATGATCAAGGACATCATTGTTTAGTATAATTTCTTAGTAAAGGTAAATATCCTCATATTTAGAAAAAATTGCATTGCTAGTTGCAAATCTTAAACACCTTGGCGCTGAAGGATCCTGTATTTCTCCCCAAAGATCCAGCAGTGCAGAGGTGCTAGGAACAAGAACTCAAAAATACAGTATTTTCAGGGCAGCATTTGAAGTTTTAGAAAACTCAGAAAGAAACAAACAAACCAGAATCAGGAATGTAAAAGTGATGGTTCTCAAAAATCAATCTGGAAGCAGATCTGCCAAGAGAAGAACATGGCTGAAAGGGGTCTCACGGGGTAAAGGGAGAGATCAAACTGGTGTCCCCCCCGCCCCCCGCCCCCAGCCCCTGGCATCACTAAGGCAGCTGCAATGGCAGAAGTCAAAAGCTCAGGTACAGTGAAGGTCTTCCTGAGGCAGTGGGAGAGACCCAGATCACCTAGAACTGGTGTGGAGAGGTGACAGGCTTCTACATGGACTTGTGCTTTAGGAAAACCAAAGAGGCCCAAATCAAAACCAAAGAGAACCTAACTCCTGCACCCAGGAGCTTTGGTCACTCCTGAGAACAGCCTGGGAGAGAAGAGGTTGGCCCTGGGACCAAGGAGGGCAGCGGTTATTCTAGGTGTTGGTCTGGGAGGAGAATGTCCATTGTGACTAAGGGCAGGTATTTCTGCAAGTGCTTTGAGTGGACTGTCCCCAACTTATGGCAATAGTGGATTTCTTGGCTAATGGGGACCAGAGGGGGAGAAGGTAGGTTATGGATTAGACAGGAGTCCAGTTAAAAACTGAGAACTTCATGAAACTTGGAATGTGAGACTTAACCCACCAGTGTGAAGTTACTTTCAGCTATTTAGCAGAGATACTATACACAAAAGCTCTATCCACATCTATGCTAGGGAAAAAGTTTAGAAAACACGGTGGACTGGCTCTTCCAAAAGGTGCAGCTGTCTGTTTCCTAGGAGTCTAAGAATGGCTGGCGAGCAGCCCTCTGTGGCCTGCTGCCAAGGGCTGCTCTGGGAGCACGAGGGCCATGGCACCCAGAGGCGGTGGGAGCAGTGACACAGGGAGAGCAGGTGGCCTTTGCTTTGGCTGGTCTTCCAGTTCTCTCTGCTAGCAGGTCCTGTTCCCCTTTCCTCAGCTCCAAATACAATTTGGCAAAAGCAACCTAGTTTATGAAAACAGGGTACTTCTTTCTGCTTAGATCACAGAGGTGGAAGAAAGCCTTGCTCTCAACTGCTTGGCCTCAAGATGCTGCAGGCAAGCATCTGGGTAATCCAGTACCCCGCTAATCCAAAGTGGCTCTGAACAAGACCAAGGCCAAGAAGACAGAGGGGTGTCAGAGATGAGGCCTCCTGGTCTGCACTGGTTGCTCGCATTATGGAGGGCTGGGAGGCAAAGGTCTAACTTCATAAGGAGCCTACAGGTCCCCACAGGAAATGCTCTGGTTTGGTTGTGCTTTTGCTTCACACTCCCACAGCAGAACTTGAATTCCTGTGCCACAATACAGTTGTGATATCAAGGGATTTTCTAGAGGGAAGTTAAGGCTTTGTGGGCAAAGACAGCTCCAGATGATACTATGACAGAAGGTTGCCAAACAATTCCTGTCTGCCTAAAGGACAAAGACCTACAAGTTCCTTCAACTTGATGGGCTGTTTCAGTGATCTTTAGCTCTCAGTTAGGGTCAAGGCCACAGCAAAACAATATCCTTGCAGCCAGGCATGGTGGTATATACCTGCAATCTCAGCACTTGGGAGGATGAGCCAGGAGGATTGTGGGTTTGAGTCCTGCTTGGGCAATTTAGCAAGACCCTGTCTCAAAATAAGAAATCAAAAAAGGGGCTAGAGATATAGTTCAGTGTGAAGGAAGGCTGTAGTACTGAAGGAAGTCCTCAGTACTGAAAAAAAGAAAAAGAAAGAAAGAAAAAAAGAAAAGCATCTTATACCTCAGGCATCTGCTTGCCCGGCAAACACAAACAAGAACACATGCATTGTTTCCTTGGAGCTGGTGAAACACCTCTCAAACTACCCACTTACAAAGAACGCTCTCATTCAGTTGCCAGCCATACATGCTCAGCAACCCAGGCAGTTCAGCTCAATGAAGACTGTGCTTTAGAATGAAAGGAAGAATTTCTGCCTTGGGAATTCTCCATGCTCTGTCTTGTCCCACTGAAGCATGGAGACACTGTCCTCATCCTGGTGGCCAGCACCTGCCAGTCATGAGACTGCCCTCAGAATCAAAAGAAGACTATGATGACAGTGGAGATTCGGAAGAGATGCCAGTCAGAGACACAAGGCTTTGGCCAATATCCAGTGTTCTAACAGGGAAAAGCTGAATAAACAAGCTTGCTCCCTCCCAGTTCCCTCGTGATGAGCTGTGGGCAGCGACCGCCACCTACAAGGGCTGCAGAGGCCAAGATCAGGCAGATGTTCAACAACGACTAGGCATGGGCTTAGAGATGGCCTAAGGTGAGCTGAGAGCCTGAGAGGTGAAGTGACTTGCTCACTTATCCAACGTGAGTTTGGGACTGTGGGTGGAGGGGCTGGGTCTCCCGGGCCCTGGATCCATGACACCATGTCAGGAATGCTTCCTTTTCAGGTAATTTCCACTCTGTGGTGGGTCCTAAGATTCCCTGCAAGTGTAAAACACTGCAGAGGTTAAGGAATATGACAACAACACACAACTTTCTCTCCTCACTCTGCTCTGGAGTCACTGGTACAGACTCGCTGCAGGAAAGATAAGAGGTTTCCTTCAACTCAGCTAACCTCCCTTCTAACATAAATGCATCAAAGAGACCTGACACTGTTTTTCAAGTCAGAGAATCCTAATCTGACTAGGGTCAGTGTCTTCCAATTGTTTGGGGGGCAGGGAAGACAAGTGGAGAAAAGTGGGTGCTTCTCCCCCTTAGTTTTTGACAAGTTATTGCTGCCAAAGAACAGTCCACAGCTACACAATTTATAGCCTTGATTTGATTTTAAAGTAGAACATTTGAACACTCTTCAAAGATTCAGCTTTGTTTTACCCCAAATAAGACCTTACTAGCAAGGAGAGCATTTGCATTCTCATCAGCCATGAATGACTTTGGGAAGAGCACAGAAGCCCAGAGGAAGCGAAAAGATGACCTACATAGAAAGTGCCAGTCCCTTGAGTAGGCGACTTTGCATCTCTGCCTTCAGTCCCTTTGTACTCTCATTCAGGCACAAACAAGAATTCTCCTGTGAGACAGCCACAGTCCCATGCTCATTTCTGTGCCTGAGAGCCTGAAGCCTGAATAAAGGGCTTCAGTTGGTGTCATGTGAACCAAAATGGAATGTAAGTGCCATTCATTCACATCACACACTGAAGAGATTTCAGCTGGGTGCGCCATCCCCCTGTCCTGGGGGACTCTGGTTGTATGGCAACAAAGGCTGTGCCCTAAGCTCCAAGGACACCCCCAGGCCCTCTGTGTGTGAGACCACAGGGCAGTCTTTTCTCCTGAAGTGAGTGGCACCTGGGCCACCACTCCCGTCTGTAAGTCAAGAGATGGGCCTCAGGCAAACAAAAGGAGCCCCTCAGTTCTGGGGATGGTGATTCAATCCTTTTAAGTTATTGCTTGGTTTACCTGTTTTCACAAAAAGTCTCAAGGGATGAAGGTTGTAGCAGGAACGATGTCTAAGAATCTTTCGGATTATAGTCATGGTTGGGTGGTGGGAGAAGTAACAGAGGAGAAAGACTAGCTTCCAAATTGAAGGGTAGAGGATAAAGTGCTAATCTGTGCAAAAAGAACATGAAAAGAAAATGCACTGATAAAACAACAGTGTGTGTGGGGGGAGCCAGAATTATATAATTTGATGACTGTGAGACATTACACCAAAGCAAAGTTGAGACCACAGCAATCCCAGTCTTTTGAGAGAATGGCTGTTTCTGATGTTATTAGGTGATCTGCTGATTGTCAGGAAATAACTTCTTCAGGTTACAGACGTTACTGTCACAACCACTTGGGCCAGTGCCCAAACTCCATCCAGTGCAGCCCTTAGGGCTAGTATTTAAGTGCTCAGGCGGCCCCCTTCACCCCTAAACAGCCAGGCAGACCCACTAATTATTTCCTAGTCTATCCTGGGGCCAAAGGGGGTGAAGAAGAGAGAATAGCTTTGTAAAGTACCCAGGTGATTTCACTCATAGCGCTGTTTGCTTTCAGAGAGCAACTGCTGATTTTTCAAAGTGCAGGGTTCTTAGATATTCAAGTACCACAGGATTGGAGAAAGTACTTGAAACCTATAGTGACATTTTTCCCTTGAGAAGACATTTCAGAAAGATCCATCTAACAGATACAATGAGAGGCTATTCCCTTCAAAGTCTACTTTCAAATAGTACCTTCTTTGATTGGAAATATCTTTCTTTAAGCTCAGATCCAATTTTTTAATTGCTTGGTATCAAAAACCAGAGTTAAAGGGACCAGGGTTAAAAGCTAAAATTACAATTAAGTGCTTAAAAAGACCCCCAAAACCTCTTTATGTGAAATGAGGGATGGGGGAAAAAAAAGGCAAGTGATGACATCCACGTGGTCCCAGGAGGGATGTTCTCTCAAACCTCAGTAAACTGAGTTTGTCATTGAACTTCAGAACTGGTGGTCATGTCGGCAACCGACCTGGTCCAAGCTCCGCACCCCCCCACGCCCCGTGTCATAGGTGAAGAGACTCAAGTCCAAAGGACTCTTGCAGGGTCATATAGGCGTTGAGAAGCAGAGCCAGGGCTCAGCCCAAATGGCCACTCCTACCCAGGGCCTTTGTGAGGACATCACACTGTGATCACACAGAGCAGCTACACAATACACCTTGCTGTTCTGGAGTCACCTGGGAGTGAAGTGACACCAATGACCACAAATTGCAATAAAACAAGCCACCAAGATGTTCTAATGGAAAGGGGCCTAGAAGGGTGTTTCCCTAGGTTGCCTGGTGATGAGAATCCCCTGGGGCACTTCTCAAAAATTAAAATCCCCAGACCCCTTCCCAGACCCTCTGCAAGGGGAGGGACCGGAGAGGCTGAATTTTTAACAAGTGCCCCATGCGAATCTCAGCAGCAGCAAGGCGTGAGAAACTGCTTAGAAGGTTGGGGAGGGAAAACTTGGTTTGTCTCAGGGAAATTCCTTTGCCATTTGGCCCGGGAGGTTCAGGCCCTTAGATTCCCAAGCTCAGTTGTGTCTTCAGCACTGGCCTAGGATGGGGAGCCCTGTGGAAGGGAACACATAACCACCACAAAATAACACATGTCCTTCACTGTTCTCAGGAAAAGCCTTTTGATTGGGAAAGCAAAACTGCTGTTCAGACACATTTTAAATAGGGAAACTAGATGTACTTGGCTTAAATGCAATCAGATGCTGAAACCCAACAGGGGGTGAAAACCCTGTTTATCACCATGGCTAACAATGCAACGGAGGAAACCAGTAACTAAGCACAAAAATAGCCTGGAGCTCCCAGGGGAGAGCCCCATACTCGAGACAGGTGTGCATGATGAGTGGCCCCGCTGATGGTGTGAGGTCAGATCCAGGTCACGGAGGGAGATGGGAGACCTGAAGCAGCAAGTGAGGGGACGAGGGGCCCAGCGGAGGCCACTGGAGCGCGCCAGAGTCCAGAGGCCTCACTCCAGCTCGGCCTCCACCTGCTCCGTGTCAGAGCACTGCGACTTGTTTCGTTCCCACTGGCAGATGGCGTTGGCGTACTCCACCACTAGCTTATCCATCCACGTCAGGGGCTCGGGGAACAGCACGGAGCCTTCAAAGAAGCCCAGGTGACCCCCGTGGAGGGGCAGCACAAACATAACGTTCTCCCGTTTCTCTGCAGGGCAAAGGCAGGGGGTTACTGCTCCTTAAAGAACTCCAGGTGGGAGGTGCAAGGGGTAGCTTGTCAGGGCGCTTACTCACAGAGGAAAGTCACCCAACCTCTGCTCCCTCTGCTTTGTTCACCAAAGTGAGACAGGACTTTGGTGGGACCCAGCTTGGCTTTGGTGCAGAATGGGCACCTGCTTCAGGAGTCTTCGGAACTCTAAGTCCATCAGGGCTGCACCCAGACTGGGAGAGTCTCAGGGGGAGACAGAGGGGAAGAGCTAAGGAGGGTAGCCCAGGCTACAGCTCCGCGGTGAGCAATTATCCTCCCCAATTTGTGTGTCTGGATCACCTGGGTACCTTGTTAAAATGCAATTCTGATCGAGTAACCTGAGGGTGGGCAGGGTCAGAGTGGGGTTCAGAGCATGTAGACTGTTATTTACTGGAGAACAAGGAAAATTCCGTGGAGACAATGTTTTTTCATTCCAGGCATTGATCTTTAAGAGTAAGGCCTAAGGCTGGGGATTTAGCTCAGTGGTTCTGCCGCCTGGCTCGAAAGCACAAGATCCCAAGTTTGATCCCCAGTACCAAAAGATTTTGGGCCGGGGATTTACCTCAGAGGTTCTGCTGCCTGCCTAGAAAGCAGAAGGTCCCAAGTTCCATCCCCAGTACCAGAAAAAAAAAAAAAAAAAAAAAAAGAATAAGGCTTAACTTAAAGCTGCAAGTTGTGTTAAAGGACATCCAGGCTGTCACCACCACCTGCTAACTGGCCATCCTGAGAGTTAATCTGGAGCTTGACTTTATGAATCCTTAGTTAGGCTGGTCTCACATGGGCTAGGACAAGCTAGGCTAAGATGTGTGTACAGGGCCAGCTAAGTCTGACAGGAAGCATCTGTCTTCCCAGGGAATTCCTGACAGGGCCCCTTGTTAGCTCTCTGGGGCTTGTTCTTGCCTCACTCCCTTTTTGGTTGCTGTTCTAGAAATGTGTGACAGTATTAGCACTGTGGACAGTATGTAGGGGTCCAGAAGGAGATGAGAGTTAGTGCTTTCTTTCTCTCCTTGTTGCACATGTGGCTGGGTGGCACTGAGCCTTGGCTGGAGAAGGGGACGAACATAGCTCCGACCATGTGACAGGTCTCTCAAACACAGCCTTCGCCGTGAGCAGGGTAACAGCCCCGGAAGACTGTGGGCTCTCTGCTGGCTACATCACCTCCTCCTAGCTTGAGGTTCACCAGAGAGCCAGAGGAACACTTTCTCCTTCCAGGTACACTATGATATCTACAAGAGGTAAGGCAACCACAGAGAAGGATTGGGGAGGGTGCTGAGAGATGATGTTCTAGGGGTCTGAAATGACCAAGAAGTAACTATGGATGCCCCAACATTTCCTCCTGCACCCCCCCCGCCTTTTCCTTTTAGCTCCTTACCCAGCACGAAAGGAGCTGCTGCTTATATTTTTATCCTCAAAGCAGATGGAGAAGCTGTCATCAGTGGTAGCAGAACTTGTTTTTTGTTTTGGTTTTCTGGTCAAATTTTTAATCTAAATATATCTTTAAGTCAAACCCTCCCACTTAATAGAACCATAATCCTAATTCAATAATTTCATGGAACACCATAAAAAGCTCTCCTGGTGGGGTCCGGGGATTTAGCTCAGTGGTTCCGCCGCCTGCCGCCTGCCTCGCAAGTGCAAGGTCCCGAGCTCATTCCCCAGTACCAAAAAACAAATCGAAACAAAAAAAGCTCTCTTGGTGATGGACAGCAAGGATAGCCCTGTCTCCTATCCCAGGCTACCCAGGGCCTTCACAGCCCAGAATATCAGACGAGGCAGAGTAAGAACACTGTCACAAGTTGTTCCTCCCCAAAGAGGCTGGCAGCTCAGGGAAGGTGACAGGATTTACTGGGGCAATTTGTTGAGTGCTTGGGGAGCAGTAGGAGAAAACACTTACCTGAAAGAGATTTTGGAATGGTTAGAAGACTTTCATGCACCAAGGGGTCATCAGCTGCGTTAACCAACATGAGTGGTACATAAATCTGCAACGAGAAAATAAGGCAGACTTAAATGACGGATTCCCCTTTCTAGCCCTACTGACTCAGGGCTTAAATTCACTACCAGACATGTCTTTGGATGGATTGATTGTGGTTTTTTTGGTTTTTTGGTACCAGGGATTGAGCTCAGGACCTTGTGCTTGCAAGGCAGGCAGCAGCACCACTGAGCTTTAGATGGGTCTTTGAAGCAAACGGAAAGGGGTTACAGCCCACCTTGCTAAATTGGTGGGTGTATTCACCAGCAGTGGGATGAGTTGTAAGTGTCTCCATGATCACTGCTGGGCAGTAGGCACATGCAGGAGCCGCAGGGGACCTGCATGCTCTGATGGAGAGGAAAGTGCTCAGTGGCATTCACTGTCAAAATATTTTTGATCAGGCCGGGGATTTAGCTCAGTGGTTTCGCTGCCTGCTGTGCAAGCACAAGGACTCGAGTTCGATCTTTGGTACCAAAAAAAAAAAATTCTGATCATTATTATGCTTTCCAGATTAGCCATGCCTTTCAGGTAAAATACTTTACCAAGAGGAATGTATATATTTGTTCAGTTAATAATGATGAAGTGTACCCCACTCCAGATAGAGCAGACTTCCTAGAAGAATCTGAAGTTTGAACACAGGAGTAGGGTGGTGAATGATGGGGGACTCTGGGCAGGCTTGCATTCAGTGATCATTTTAGCAACACAACCAATAGTTTCCTTTTGTACTTGTGTGGCGGTGCTGATGGGGGGCTCAGACGGCTCTGAACAGCCATACCAGGGCAGGGGATGGCTCTGCTGTCCCGGGCCTCAGACGTCAGCACAGTGCAGCTCAGGGCTCCCCAGTGGCTAAAATGCCCAAAGCCTGGATAATGATGCTGAACGATGACAGTTGGCTAAGATAGATGCAGAGCTGCAGTCACAATGATTTATTCTAGCTGGGGGAATGGTGGGCCAAACTAACATGTGGACATCGACAGGGATGAATGGGAAAGTCTCTGTGTGCATAAAAGGAGGAGTTGTACAGAGACTGGCTTTGTGATGGTTCAGGTGAAAAAAATATATAGGGATTTTTGGTTCACCACAAACAATACACACAGTTTATTACTGTAGCTGCTAAAAATTGCATGGATGCAAATGAGTCTATAGACTGCTCCTCTACACTGTGACACAGAGGACCTTGTTTACCCCAAGCTCACCAGGTCTTGGCCGGAATCTGCAGTTCAGTTCTAGGCATTGTGCTATGAAATAAAGCTATAGTCTAGGATGGTGGGAGCCTGAGATGGTTCTCCCAGGAACCATGGCAGAAACCAGGAGGGATTACACTGTCAAAGGAAGTCTAAGAAAGAACTGGATGTTGCAGCAATGTTAAGAGCTTTCCTATAGCCTAGGGAGCAAATCCAAACCCAGCTAGACTGTGGCGGAGCTTCCACCAAGGAATTCAGGAGAGGTAGGTAACTGCTGGACATGAGCGAAGCTACAGGGAGTGACATGAATTCTGAGCCAGTGCTAGCTACTCACCCTGTGCAGGTACCTCATGCAGCTCTCTTCTTCATAGTACTCCTGCAGGGAGTTATACCCATGGAACTTCCTGGAACACATGGGGTGGAGGAGAAAAAGGACAGAACAACATTAGTTGTGAGATCAGAAATGAACTCACCGCCCTGGGTGAAAACATGCCAGCAGCTGAGTTGGGTCTGAATGCCAATCTGATAGTACTATTGCCCCAGGTTCTGTACTGACATAGGCTCTGTGGAGTTTGCAGCATTTGGGGTGAGGAGCACGGGCTTTGGTATCTGGGTTCAAATCCTAGCTCTGCCACTTACTGGCTGTGTGACCTTAGGTAAGTGGCTCAACTTGCCCTCACCTCAGCTGCTCCTCTGTACACTGGGTCTAGAGACAGGACTGTCCTGGGAAGTGCTTATTAGCACAGAGACTGGTCCAGGCAATCACTCAGTGTATGCTGTTTATACTGACTTGTGATGTCACATTATCTGAGGCAGATGACACTACATATGGCCACAGAGAAACTGAAATTCTAAGACATGTCCTAGAACTTCTTTCGAACAAAGTTCTTCCTGTTGGAGTCACTCACTGGACCACTGTGAACTGGAATGAAATATATTGGGACACAGAGATGAGGCAGGGGATGAGTTGCGGTTCTGTGCACCCTCGGAGTGGTAATCAGGGACACATGCCATTCACCCGAGCCTCCAGTGCACCTGCCTGAGAGTCCTGCGGCTTTGCTCTGTGCTGTGCTCCAAGGCTGGCGAGGCTCAACCTGAAGCTCCAATGCGAGGCAGCCCAAGGCAACCCAGCCAGAGAATCTCTGAAAGGCTCCTTTCTTCCTGGCACAGGGGAAGACCTCAGCTCAGAATGGTGGATCTTTTCTGTTTTGGTGCCAGGTTCCAACAAATGCCACCTCCCCTGAAGGGGTGCATTTCTTTCACCTCTGGTCTCCATACACAACCCGCCTGGGAATGACCCACAAAGCTGAGGCTGGACACTTAGGGGCTTTTTGACAGGGATCAGGCTGCATGCAGAAATCCTCTCCAGGACCTTTGTCCTTGTGTAGTTGGTCCCCTTACAGTCTTGGGAAAGTGTTCCCATTCTCCAGGGTGAGGGCTGCCAGAGCAGGTTATAGCCACAAAACTGCTACAATTGAACTTGAATAAAGAGGAGGAACTGTACGGAGGTCTGAGAGCATTCTCTTTGGGACTTAAAAAACTCAGAAGATGAATTGGGAAATTTAAGTGACTTTTTTTCTTACTAGACCTAGTAAGTCATATAACTCACCTAAGTGCAGCTGGTAGGTATGATTCACTCTTATCTTCTCTATACACCAGCAATTTCCTAGTTTCTGTTTCCCCTGAGAAACTGTTAACAGGCACATTTCAAGGTTACTGGGTGCAAGAAGGCTACTAAAATCTCACAAGGAAGAAAAGCATTGATCCCATGGCCTCTGATGGCTATCTGCCTATATCTTGGATGGATAGAGTGGTACCTTGGTTCACGAACTCAATTCCTTCCATGACTGTGGGGAAAATGGTCATGTTTGTGTTTGTGCAAAAAAGATGGCCACGGTCATGTTTGTCACCTGATGTAGAGTTTGCAAACAATTGTGTTCATGAACCGAGGTATCCCTATACTTGTTCACTTTGGATAATATTTAAAGGTACTGAATGGCTGGGCGTGGTGTTGCATGCTTGTAATCCCAGCACTCCAGAGGCTGAGGGAGGAGGACTGCAAGCCCAGCTGGGCAACTTAGTGAGTGAGACCCTGTCTCATAGTAATAAAATTAAAAAAGGGCTGGGGGTGTAGCTCAGTACAAAGGCCCTAGGTTCAATGCCCAGGATTGTGAAAAAAAGATCAAATGTTTCTTCAATGAGCAGGATGGCCTTTTTTTAAAGAGAATGGTGAGTTCAGAGATCAACTCTACCTTTTGAAGCTGACCTTAGTTAGAAACTATTGGTACCAGGAAAGAAGTCTGTCAGGGTCAAGATCGCTGGCACCTGAAAGGGTCAGGGAGGAAGACAGGGAATGAGTGAAGTGGGGGCGGTTTGCATCTTACACATAGCAGTGTTTCCAGGTCCACAAAGAAACAGATTTCATTTGTTTTTGCCTGACACATGGCTCTCTTGGTCTACCTTTTGGTTTTCTACTTTTGATAGAGACTTTGATGAGTGCTAGAACTATTTCCACCTCCTTTGCCTCCATTGCAGAAGCAGATTTGTGCAGCACCTGGTCTTTTCCTGTGTGAGACAGGACAGGTAGGGTAAGGACACAGGATCATGATGAGGATGTGCACACCTGGCTCCTCAGTTCAAGTCTGCTGTGCAATGCAGGATGTGTGGTCAGTTCCTCTGCCTATTTCCAAGGTGTTAGGATTTTTCTGTGAAAAGTTCTGTGTTTAGACATTGGGTACTTTTCTGTTTTTGTTTTTTTGAGACATGGTCTTGCTTTGTAGTTCAGGCTGGCCTCAAACTCTCAGTGATCCTCCTGCCTCAGCCTCCTGAGTGGTGATGCACAAGAGTGCACCACCATGCCTGGCTGGACACTTATTCAAAGGGAAAAAAAAGGCCCTTATCATTAAGGTGGGCCAAGCAGAGCAATGGTGCCAGGCAGAACTGCCTATCCGAGGGGACCCACCGCATCACGTTGTCATCGATCTGTGTCAGGGACGTTGCGGTGTAGAGTCGGCTCAAGTCCGTGTCCTCCAGGCTCTGGGGTTTCTTAATGTGGTCTCCAAAGAGAGCTTGCCTAGAGTGAGACACAGAAGCAAACAGCGAATCAATCACAGGCAGAAGAGAAGCCACTGCAGCAGAGCCGGGACTAGCAGCAAGCCAGGAGTTGGTCCTATCCTGCGGGACCGAGCCCATGTGGTCCCTGGAAACAGAGCTTTTAGCTTTTAGAACAAGTGTCTAGTGTCTTGGGTAACTGCAGCAAGATGAACTCCCAGACCATACTTTCTTTTCCAGGACATCTAGACAAACTAAAGGCTGGGCTTGAAACTGGCTGAATGTTACACAGGGTCTGGGAAGAGGCCTTAGGATGAGCTCTGTGGTGGGTGGGGGGCCAAACACTGGGGAGTCATCTTGTACTGGTGTTGATGCACATCCCCTCTCCCCAGTAGAGCCTCTTTCCCTTTATGAGTTGTTTCTGTTGTTTAAGGAGGAAGACAAGCGCTAACCTGTCAGCATTTGGGCAGTAGCTCTCGAAAGTGTTAGCTAAAAAGGGACCTCTCTCAGATACCAAAATCCATGGATGCTCTAACCTCTTATATAAAATGGTATAGGGTTTATTTTTTGTATTGTAAGAGATGAGGTATTGGTATGTTGCCCAGGTTGGCCTTTTACTCCTAGGCTCAAGATATCCTCTTGCCTCAGCCTCTTGAATAATTGGATTACGGTACACAGGCCTCCACACCTGGCTTTAGAATCTGCAAATAACCCATGGCATCCTTCTGTATACTTTAAATTATCTCTAGATGACTTATGATACCTAATACAATATAAATGCTATATAAATAGTTGCTGTATTTAACAAGAAAAAAATCTCTATATGTTCAGGACAGAGAAAAACCTTTGTAAGTCTATTTTGATTCGCTGTTGGTTGAACCTGTGGATGCAGAAGCCATGGGTACAGAGGGCCAACTGTACTCAGGAAAGTGGTCCTTTCCTGCAGAGAGAGACCCATCTTGACAGGACAACTGTCAAGGAAGGAGTGAAGTGGGCACTGCAGGGTGCCCTGCCCAGCAAGGGCTCTTGGGGACACGGCTGAGCCAGGTGTGGCTCACAGGTGGGAAAGATTCGTTGTGGACACTCAGTTCTGGGATCCATGCACAACTTCTCCAGAAGAAGAGGGATATGTGGGGTTTTTGTTCCACTGACTTTTCCCCCGAAGACAGACAGACTGACTATCTCTCTCTCTATGGGACAGAATCTACAACTTGAAGTTTCCTAAACATTTCTGAGTGTTTGGTTTTCTGAGAAAACTTACAAAATGCTAAATATATTTGCAACACACTTTCTCAATTTGTTAAGAATGATGATACCTCAGGACCATTTAGGAGAAGACTAGGCCTCTAGGACAATAAGTGGTCTGGGAGGAGTCAATCTCCATTCTGGAGGTGAAGACAGAGGGCTTGGATTCAGTATCCATGGCCTGGCTTCTCCCCTTCTGGCTACATGACCTCTGTAGACCCCCTGGCCCACCTAAACCTCAGACAAGCCAAATCCAACTCAGTGCCCAGCACAATCCAGCTCAAACTGCATGAGCTAAGTGGAAAAGCTGATTGTCACATCCCAGGGGACATAGGTTTCCCTCTGTTCTCCATCCACACAATGACCCATGGACATGCCTGAGAGCCAGAGAGGCTGCAAACACCGGCCTTCCTCAGGTGCCCATGACCCCACCCACAGGAAGCCTCAGCTGGGGTGAGCGCCAGCCTGGGCAGTACCACATGTTCTTTGAATCGTTGAAAAAAAAGAGACTAAGAGTCAGGCATGGTGGCACATGCCTGCAGCCCAGCTACTGGGGACACAGGAGAATGGCTTGAGCCTAGGAGTGGAAGGCCAGTCTCAATTAAAAAAAAAAAAAAAGTAAGAAATCAATGATTTAGTCAGACTGCTTTTCCCAAGGGAGTCTATTCTGTGAATGCTTCTATGTGCTAGACTCTGGGAGAAACTAAAATATGCCCAAACTCTGCAAGGATTCCCAGACACAGGAGGCACAGAGAGGGAACCACAGAGAAGCTGCCTGGGTTTGAGATGGGCCTTAAACAATGGGTTGCTTATTTCAGTTACCCATTTTTGACAGAGTCTTTAATTGAGGGTGGTCTAATCTTTTTCAGTTCTTTATGAATTCTACATATTAGCTCTGTCCGAGGAATAGCTGGCAAAATTTTTTTTCTCATTCTGTAGGTTATCTCTATAACAGCACAATTCAAGATAGCTAAATCTTGGAAGGGGTCTATATGTGCATCAACAGATGAATGGATAAAGAAAATGTGGTATTTACACACAATGGAGTACTAGCCTGCCACAAACAAGGATACACTTGAGTCATTCATAGGAAAATGGGTGTACCTTGAGACTATAATGTTAAGTGAAATAAATCAGAGATATAAGTTTAAATAGCACATAGTTTCTCTTAAGAAACCCAAAATATAAATAAAGAGCAAAATAAAAGATAGATAATATGAAACAGGTAGATCTTTTGCAAAAGGGAAGAGGTCCAACAGATGGAGGGAGGGGGAAAGGAGGAGAAGGGGATGAAAGAAGAGGTGAGAGGTATTATATATTGACAGGATTACAAATGCAGAGGGGGACTGGGCACGTCACCAGTGTGGTCAGCAGAGTCTGAGCCACCCATCTTTTTTCCTGGCTTTCAGTGGCTGTGCGCTGTGTCTCCTGAGGGGGCAGAGGGCTGTACCTGTGCGAGAGAATGATCTTCTTCATGTTGTCGGCCATGAGGAAGTTGTAGAAGCGCCGGCACTGGTCCCACTGCATGAAGGTCTCCTGGGCCCTGGAAGAACCACAGTGACGTGAGAGGCTTGGTGTGAAGAGTGGACGCGGGCTCTCCAAGGGGGTCACGGGGACTGCACTGGCTCCCTGGTCACTGGCCCCACCCTGATGACACTGGAACAGGGGCTTTGATGTGCAGCATTCATGTCTCTGGGAAGGAGAAACCATAACTTAACAGCACTCCTGACACCCGCTTCCTGCCCAGTCTCTCTCAGTCACGGAACCTGCCAGAGGCTGTCGGAGTTGTCACTTGAACACTTCCTCCATGTGGCTACCAGTGCAGGGAAAACCTAAAAAGAACTTCAGCTGCTGACTGAGAGGTGAAGGGAAAGCACAGAATTTAATCTTCAAGTCAGCCTTTCTTTTCATTCACTTGAGGACACTGAAGGGACAGGGACACAGAAGGAGTGGCAGAGAGGCACTGATGCCCTCAAGGTGGGGCTGGCGGGGTGGCAGATGAGTCTTTCCCCTGTTAGGCTGTGCCTGGTGGGCACAAGCTAGCCCACCTGTGGTGAGGGTCAGCCTCAGACCTCCCCGTGCTGGCACAAGGAGGTAAGAGGATCCCTGTATTCCACATCCGAGCTCTGCCACTGCCATACCACAGCTAGCCTTGTCTGCAGATGTCCTTGTCCACTGCTATAGCCATACTCAGCCATTCTTACTCCCCTAGTCTCATGTCCCCCCTTCGCATCATCCCACCTAAGCTTGTCCCACTAACCCTGCTACCCTACCCATAAAAGACCCAGCTCAATAAAATGGGCTCAGACTCTTCTTTGGAAGGACCAGTAGGTCCCACCTGGAACCCCCAAATTTGGGCTAGTGCTGTGTTCTTTACTGGGTCGTCAACATTTACCTAACAGCTAACCATAGCCAGGATTCTGCTGGCAGGGCAGGTGCGGTGAGTGGAGAGCTGGCCGGTGGCCATGGTGAGAGCGGGCCTCAAGTCTGGCTTTGGTGGAAGAGACCAGAAGAGAGGAGGCCCTGGGCTTGGCACACCCTACACCTCAGGGATGGAGATGTCTGCCTGGGGCCCAGGAGACCCAATCAATAAGGGTTAGAGGATGGTGGCTGAGGAGAACACTCAGAAGCTGTGACGACACAAGGTATCATGACAGACAGACTTCATGGATGACAGGCGGAGAACAGTTGTGAGCCAGCGAGGGAGCGGGAAACTATGGAGAGGGGAAGGGACAAAGGACATTAGAGTCACAGGTGGCTATATGCCAATGGCAGCACACAAGCAGAGTGCGAAAGATCTCAGAGGTATTGGGGAGACTGCCTGAGATGGAAAGGAACTTGTGCTGGAGAACGCATGGATACTCCAAATAAGGTCACCTGCCAGGAGAAGCACAACAGAGCTACATGGTAAGAAAGCAGAGATTCCCAGTGTCCAAACACCCCACGGGAAAACATGCAAAGAACAATTGGGTGAGAGCTGGCAGGTCAGGTGGGAGAAATAAATTTTACATTTGAGATGCAAATCATAAGATGGGCACAGGAGCCACATGCTTGACTTGGTTCTGTGTTCTCTGAAAGAGAAGGGATGGCAAGAGCTGCTCCTCAGGCCATTAGACGTGGCCACCACTGGAAACCAGCTAAGGACTCAGGAAGGATGTGTAGAGGCCAGGGAAGAAGCAGCTAAGTCCCTGTTCTGGGGAGGGATGGCTTTGTGAAACCCAAAGGGAACACTTGTTGGCAGGAAGGGAGGTTTCAAAAATGACAGAAAGGATCATGATGGCTCCAAAAACAAAGATAACTCTTGAGAGGTAGGAAGCTTTCAAAAAGTAATGCTGCCACTGAGGTCACTAAGGAGAAGAGCAACCCCAAAGCAAGTACACTTTCACCGGAAGTCTTACATGAGAATGATAACTTGGATTTGTGAAGAGCTTTATCCATCCACCTCTCTACCTATCCATTACCAAAATAAAGTTCTCTTACGGCGTCTTTACCACTCCTAATCACAGTAAGTAATACCAAAATATTACTCATACTCTCTGTTTCCTTTGCTGCCTCGTAAGTGCCATGTTGTTCGGCTCTGCCATGCCTGCTCGTCATCCTTGCCTTGGACTCGGCTGATTATGGAACGAAACCTCTACGGACTGTAAGCCAAACATCACCCCTCCTTCTAACTTTGGGTGTTGGGGATTTTGTCTCAGCGAGAGAAAAAAGGTAACTCACACAGAAATTTGGTACCAGAGAAGTGGGGTCATTGCTGTAACATTACCTGGCCATGTGGGTCAAAAGCCTTTGGAACTGGCTTGTGGGAAGGGGAAGAGTGAGGAAAGATCCAGAGATACTGGCTATAGAAGCAGAGCTGGAAGGCCTTAGGCTGTTTTGTATGGGAGATTCTGGTCAGAGCTCAGCAGACCAGAAATCCAGTAAAGACCAGGATCAGGAGATTTCTGCTGGGAAAAAGGACTAAATTGGCTGTTGGACTCCAGATAATGTGTGTTATGGCTTGGCAGAGAGTTTGTCTGCATTTTGTTCATGTCCAGAGACTTTGCCTGAGACTGAGATGGACTAATTCATCTTGCAGAAGAAATTTCAAGGCAGTAGAATACTGAGGCAGTGGCATGGCTACTGTTGGGGGCTTTTAGCCAGATCTATGTTGAGAATACAGAGCAAAAAGCTCAGAAGAATGATTTAAAATGTTTTAAGTTTGGCCAGAAAGGAAGCTCCAGTAAAGCTGTGAACTGCAAAGATTGAGTGGAGCAGATCTTGACTGCTGAGAAGGAATAGGAGAATAGAAAAGATGGCCTGAGGCCATCACAGAAAGCAGCACACCACCCTTTGCAGCCTCAAAACTGCAAAAGTGAAGGACTTTGCTTTGAGAAGGAAGCCCCAGAACACCATGTTCCAGAATGGTGGTGACCTAGGGAAGTTGTTCTAAAATGGTGGACTAGGGAAGTTCATCAGAATTGGATTCAGAGTGCTCACCAGTCCAGGCTCTGACCCCTATAGCCAAGAGAGAGAGGGAAGGCTGGCTGCTATTGCTCCAGTTGGCAGCAGACCTTGGCATCATCCACGTGGCACCAATTTTAGGTGCATGCAGAATGCAAGAGTTGTGGGGTCAGGAAGGCTTCCACCTAGATTTCAGAAGAAGGCCTGGGAGGCCAGGCAGGGTGCCTCTGAGAGGGCAGTGTGTGAAGCCAAAGGTGCAGTGGAGAGCCCAGATGTTTGAAGAAGCTAGAAGCATGGATCCTCTGAGGAAAACTGCAAGGAGGGAGCAGAGCCAGCCCAAGAGAAAAGCCATGGAAGGTACAACCAACAGAAATGCCATAGGGGCGGAGCCACCCAAGCCCTTTGGAGTTCACAACTTGGCACGGATTGCCTCAAATTTTAGAAGTGGAACTGTGGAACGTAATGTTTGGCCTGCTGGATTTTGGACTTACACTTTGGTCCCATTCCTTTGTATCCTCCTGTTTGTACCTTTGGGAATGGAAATGTCTATCCTGTGCCATTGACTGTTGGAAGTGTTTGACTTTCTTTTCATTTGCACAGGGGCTTACACTTAAGAGTTTGCCTTCAATCTCAGAGGAGACTTTGGACTTAGACTTTTCTGCAATGCTGAAACTTTTAGGACTTCAGCAACTCTTAGAGATGGGGTAAATGCCTTTTACATAAAGGAATGTACATAAGTCTCTGAGTGGCCAGAGGGAGAATGTTAAGGTATGGGGCTGGATGTCCCCTCAAAGCCTCAAGTGGTCATAGGTTGGATCTAGAGTGTGTGAATCTGGAATTCAGGGTGCAATGCTAGGCTCAAGGGCCCTAGGATTAAGGGTGTGAGTGCTTTCCGCTCTAAATAGTCTGAATAAGATAAAAGAGGCAGGGAGACACTGGCAATTCTCTCTCGTTACATTTGCTGCCTTGTGTGTGCCATGTTGTTTCTGCTCTGCCGTGCCTGTTTGTTGTCCCTGCCTTGGAGACGGCTGAAAACTCTACGAATTTAAGTCAAATAAACCCATTCCCCTTAAAAAAAAATATTATCCATACTGATTTCATAGCTATTTGTTTTGACCGGTTGAAATAATTTTAGATAGGTATGGTGGCACACGTCTGTAATCCCAGAACTCTCAGAGGCTGAGGCAGGAGGATCCCAAGTTCAAGCCCACAATGTGGAATTTAGCTACTTAGTGAGACCTTGTCTCAAAATAAAAAACAAAACAAAACAAAAGGGCTAGGGATGTAGCTCAGTGGAAAGACCTTGGGTTCAATACTCACTATTGAAAAAAATTTTTTTAATGTTATAATTACTAGGACTCCAAACAAACAGGCATTTACAATTATGTCCAGAGCAAATGAGCAAAGAAAAGCTGAGCCAACCCTTGCTATGCTGGGTGCTGCTCAGAGAAAGCTCCATCTTCCAACTCCTCAGATGTGCAAAATGAATAGACTAAGCACTAATGAGGGATTAAAATTAGAAGAGAAGGAACCAGGGGAAAAAGTACGCCTGATGCCCAAATGAATGAAAATCTCTGGGCCCCCATGAAGTACACCTCAGAGTGCTGAGAACTGCGGTGATACAGCCAGCGGCTCTCCTGTGGTCTGAGAACACACGCAGGATGAGGAAAGAGAAGCTCCATGTGGCTGGGATGGGCCAGCATGGCTCTAACGTTCCAAAAGTGGACAGGCGGCAAGGACATTGTGAATTAAGAGCGGTGAAGAATGTAGGGGATGTGGATCTAGGTGATATTAAAAGACACCCTGAAAACAATATGCTAATGAAACCTTGAAATTAAAGTCCATTAAGTATTCTCCCAGAATGTTACATCACTAATGTAAAGAACTACTTTTACTTGGAGAAGGAGGGCTTTGCCCATGTATAGTTGGACTTTTAAAAAATGGTGGTAAAAATACTTCATATAAAACTTATCATCTTAGCCAGTTTAATAGTGTTAGGTACATTCACATTGTTGTACAACAGGTCTCCAAAATATTTTTCAATTTGCAGACCTGAAACTCTCTCTTTAGCCATAAAATAATAACACCTCACTTCTTCCT